GGTTGATAACCAGAATCTACAAAGAAATCAAGAAACTCCACATCATCAAAACAAACAACCCACTTAAGAGATGGGCCAAGGACCTCAATAGACATTTTTCAAAAGAGGAAATCCAAAGGGCCAACAGACACATGAAAAAATGTTCAAGATGACTAGCAATCAGGGAAATGCAAATCAAAACCACAATGAGGTTTCACCTCACCCCAGTTAGAATGGCTCACATTCAGAAATCTACCAACAATAGATGCTGGAGAGGATGTAGGGAAAAAGGGACACTAACCACTGTTGGTGGGAGTGCAAATTGGTTAAGCCACTATGGAAGTCAGTCTGGAGATTCCTCAGAAACCTGAAGATAACCCTACCATTCAACCCAGCCATCCCACTCCTTGGAATTTACCCAAAGGAAATTAAATTGACAAACAAACAAGCTGTCTGCACCTTAATGTATATTGCAGCTCAATTCACAATAGCTAAGACCTGGAACCAACCCAAATGCCCATCAACAGTAGACTGGATAAAGAAATTATGGGACATGTACTCTATCGAATACTATACAGCAGTCAAAAACAACGAAACCCGGTCATTTGCAACAAGATGGAGGAATTTGGAAAACATCATGCTGAGTGAATTGAGCCAGTCCCAAAGGGACAAATATCATATGTTTTCCCTTATCGTTGACAACTAACTGAGCACCAAAGGGGAAACTTGTTGAAGTGAAGTGGACACTATGAGAAACAGTTACTTGATCAGCTCTTGTCCCGATGGTTGATGTACAATGTAATACTTTATCCATTTTAGTATTTTTTTTGTTCTAGTACCATTGGTTGAACTCTGTAATTAACACACAATTATTCTTAGGTGTTTAAATTTTAACTGAAAAATGATCCCTGTTAGGAATTTGGAAAACATTATGCTGAGTGAAATAAGCCAATCCCAAAGGGACAAATACCACTTGTTCTCCCTGATAAGTGACAACTAACTGAGCACCAAAAAGGAAACCTGTTAAAGTGAAATGAACACTATGAGAAATGGTGACTTGATCAGCCCTCACCCTGACTGTTGATGAGCAACTTAATATGTTATCCCTCTTAGTATTTTTTTTGTTTGTTCTACTTAATACTTTTGGTTGAATACTGTAATCAATACACAATTATTCTTAAGTGCTGACACTTAACTGAAAAGTGATCACTGTTAAATATAAGAGTGGGAATAACAGAGGAAGAGATGTGCAATTCGGCACATGCTCAAGCTGACTCACCTCAAACGGTAGAGTTAGAAACATAGCAGGGGATTCCGATTCAATCCCATCAAGGTGGCATGTACCAATGCCATCTCACTAGTCCCAGTGATCAATTTCTGTTCACAATTGATCATAATGATAGGACTAAGAACCAAAGGGATCACATAAATAAGACTAGTGTCTGCAAATACTAGCTGATAGAATAAAAAAGGGAGAGAATGATCCAACATGGGAAGTGAGATTACACAGCAGACCCATAGAATGGCAGATGTCCTAAACAGCACTCTGGCCTCAGAATCAGCCCTTAAGGCATGCGGATCTGGCAGAGAAGCCCATGAGACTATTTCAGGCATGGAAAGCCAAAACATTTTGGCAAAAAAAAAAAAAAAATGACCTAAATGAAAGATCTCCGCGAGTGAGATCCCAGTGGAAAGAACGGGTCATCAAAGAAGGAGGTACCTTTCTCTGAAGGGAGGAGAGAACTTCCACTTTGACTATGACCTTGTCTAAATATGATCAGAGTCGGTGAACTCAGGGGGCTTCCATAGCCTTGGCAGCTCATGACAAGAGCCTAGGGTGATTACTGATGCCATAAACAAGAGTGTCAATTTGTTAAGTCAACAACAGGAGTCACTGTGCACTTACTCCTCATGTAGGATCTTTGTCCTTAGTGTGCTGTACATTGAGATTTAATGCTATAACTAGTACTCAAACAGTATTTTTCACTTTATGTTTCTGTGTGGGAGCAAACTGTTGAAATCTTTACTTAATGTATGCTAAACTGATCTTCTGTATATAAAGAGAATCGAAAATGAATCTTGATGTGAATGGAAGGGGAGAGGGAGTGGATAAGGGGAGGGTTGCGGGTTGGAGGGACCTTATGGGGGGGGGAAGCCATTGTAATCAATATTCTGTACTTTGGAAATTTATATTCATTAAATAAAAGTTAAAATAAATAAATAAATAAATAAATATTTTTAAAAAGATTAAAAAAAACAGTATTTAAAGAAAGACACCTCTGGTGCAGGTGTTGTGGTGTAGTGGATCAGGCCACCACTTGGCTTGCAATGCCTGCATCCTATATTGGAATGGTGGTTCACTGATCCAAAGCCAGGAGCCAGGTGCTTCTCCTGGTCTCCCATGCAGGTGCAGGGCCCAAGGACTTGGGCCATCATCCACTGCACTCCCGGGGCATAGCAGAGAGCTGGACTGGAAGAGGGGCAACTGGGACAGAATCTGGCTGGGGTGCCGGTGCCACAGGTGGAGGATTAGCCCATTGAGCCGCGGTGCCAGCCAGTTTCCTATTAATGTTTCCTGGAAGACACCAAATGAAGGCTCAAGTACGTGGGCTCCTATAACCCACATGGAAGACCCAGACAGAGTACCAGCCTCTTGGTTTCAGCTTGGTGCAGCCCTGGTTGTTGTGGGCAATTGGGGAATAAACCAGTGGCTGGAATCTCAATCTCTCTCTCCCTCTTCCACTTCCACCTTTCAAGTACATGAAAAATACATATATAAACATTAATAAAAGTGGAATACATTCCCCTAAAATCTACATATTCACCAACATAATCACTAACATTCACAATTTACAGCAATTAATTCAAAGTTGTTAGATAATTCTAAGTAGAAGGAAAATGTGTGACTCATAACTAGGAAAGAAGTTAACAGAAACAGACCCAGAAATTAAGACCTACAAAGTAAAAAAATTCTGAAAGTTCACAAATATTAGACATGTCCTTAAAGAAAAGTCCTAGGGAGTCTTTCACTGAAGCAAAGGGAAGCCAGACTCTAACTTGGCAGGGTTTTATTTTCTATTGAAATTAATATAAATTTTAATTCCTGGTAAAAAAAAGAAAGTTTCAACAAGATATACATGAAAAAGAAATGAGAAGAAAATCAAGACATTTTACTATATAAAACAACTAAGCAGAAAATAAGAAAGTGATAGAGGAAATAGGAACAAAAGATCAATAAGGAATATATAAACACCAAACTACTAAAGTAATTCAATCCTTGTTAGTAATTACTTTAATTGTAAATGTATTAAATTCTGCCATCAGAAGATAGAGATTGGCAAATTGTTAAAAAAAATCCAACTATATTATCTACAAAAGGCTCATTTTAGATCCAGAGACACAGATAGATTGAAAATGAAAGGACAAAACAGCTATTCTGTGAGTTGATGCAGCTATACTAATACCAGATAAAGTAATTTCAATAATAAAAAGTTACAGTAGGGAAATAAGGATATAATATATTAATAAAAGTTTCAATACAGTATGGAGATACAAAAATTATAAATATTAACACACCTCATATCATAACCCTCAAAATATATAGAGCAAAATTGGTAGAAATGAAGGGAGAAGTAAAAAACCCTATAGTAAGATAATTGAAGGGAGAAATAACAAGTTCTACAGTAACAGAGATTTCAGTACTCATTATAGTATATAAAACAAACAGAAAGAAAATAACTAGGGATATAAAAGACTAATATAATAAATTAATTAGATACAACAAACATACAAAAAAACTCCACTCAATAATAACAGCATACACATTCTTTTCAGGTACACACAGAAAGTTTCCCAGGACAGAAAATATGTTATTCCAGAAATCAAACCTCAGTAAATTTAATAAAAAACAGATACAAAATTATTTTCTCAGACCACAAGATGAAGTGAGAAATCAATAACAAAAAAATTGGAAAATTCACTAATATGTTAACATTAAACAATATACTCTTAAACAACTGAGGAGTCAAAGAAGAAATCATGGCGCGATTCCAGATGGCAGAACAGGCAAAGGGCAGATGGCTCTAGGCTAAGGGAAAATAGTTAAAAAAAAAAACTCATCAGGAATTATTACAAAGGCGTGTATGCCAACAAATTGGAAACCTAGAAGAACCTATTTGCAGATGACATGATTCAGGAACCAAAAGACTCCACTAAGAGACTACTGGAACTCATAAAACAGTTTGGAAAAGTGGCAGGTTATAAAATCAACACACAAAAACCACTATGCTCCTATCTTTATGAAATACATGAAAATTTTATCACCTTATATAAATAATGAAAATATTAAAAAATTAAACTGAATCTTAGATAAGAGTATTCTAGAGTAAGTGATGAAGAAATTATATTTTATAAGCTACTGCTTAGGGAGAAAACATGGAAAGAAATATGAAATACTGAGGATGAAATGATGAAATTTTATTTAGATAGTAAAAGAAGATGGAAGCATAGGTAATTTTGTGTTTCCAATGTTCATAAAAATTCTTCATGTTGGAAAAAATTATTCTTCTAATACAGAATCAGTTTGATAAGGATTTGACAAACAAGAAACTAGAAGCAGAGATATCTGGTCCTCCATATTCCATCTATAATCTCTCAATCTATAAATAAATCTATTTATTTATTTATCTATCTGTCTCCCAGCCATCTACTTCATAAAAGAGATAATTGCATTTTATTCAGTTACATTTTAAGTAGGAGCCATGTGGGAAAAATGAACATAAAAAATGAAAAACACAATAAATATAAAGTGGGAAATAATTTTGCATCTTCAAGAAAATATGAGCATTATTTCAAAGGACTTTAGTTGAAAGTTAGTAGGATGGGAGAAATGACAATAATAAAAATTATGCTCTGAGGGTATTATTAATAGCATTAATATTAATAATTATTAATAAATAATTAATGAAATTGTTGCATTATTAAGGCATCAATATCCTAGGAATGACCAAAGGGAGAGATACCATATAATTTTTTCAGGAAAATTGAAGAGCCACAGCACTGCAAGTATCCTTGGACCATGATGGCAATGCGGTCACCTAGAACATCAGCTTCATCCATGTAGTGGGTGGTCAGTAACATGGTACGATTCTGTTTATAGTTCTGAAGGAGGTCCCAGGTGGCCCTCCTTGAGGCTGGGTCCATGCCAGATGTGGGCTCATCAAGTATCACCACCTAAAGACCGGAAGGACAATTTGATGGCCATTGTACATATTATGTCCTTGTGCCACTAGTGTATTTTCCATCATGGAACTTATTTTGGCTTTGCATTTTCAGTCATTTTGCCCAGCTAAGACAGTAAGGTAAGCTAATGATATAATAAGCCAAGACAGTAAATTCAGACAAAACCGGATTAGGAATGTTGGAATAATTCTAAACTCTTGGCCATTTTATAACAACGAGGTTGATAATGTGAATTCCCTGATTTTCAGTTAGGAGGTTCCTTTTAGAATGTTAGATCCATATCAACTATTAAATTTGTGTCAGCTGATTTTTTAGACCATTTGCAGTATACAATGAGGATCAATTTTTAGTTTGATTTAGTTTTACCTTGGAGTCTCCTAAAAGTGCTATAATGATGGAGAGTTTGCGCTTCATTCCTCCACTCAGTGACTTTGAAAATGCATCACGTTTTTCTAGCAGGTTAAAAGCAGACAGCATGTGGTCAATTTCCTTAAGACACTTCTTTTGAGGTATTCCTTTTATCTAGATAAAGGAGTCAGAGTTTCCATGGGTGCTTCCCACTTTATTCTTAGAAATATTTTATACCAGCTCTGTCCTTATATTACCTATGTAGTGATTTATTCCCTTTGCCACTCTTTATAAAGGAAAATTCATCAAAAGTATTCTTGAACTTTATAAGAATATTTATAGTTGCTAAACTACCTGGAGTACATAAATGGGGGAGGGGTGTAAAGAAATGTATCTTTGGCTTACCGCACTATAGAATTGAAGGTGTTCTGATACTGTCAAGTAATTAAACAACAAATCCTGCTGGGGACACAACCCCAGTGATTTTCTGATCTGAACCATCTGGGTTGAGATATCATACCCATAAACATAGGCCTCTCCACTAGTAGGCGGATAGAGACCTAGAATCAAAAATCAAGAACAGATTGAGAAATAGCTTTTCTGAGGGAACTTGACAACCAACTACTTATTAGTACTTCAGCTTTGACATATATATATATATATATATATATGGATTACTCATTAGAATTAGCAATACATCTTGAAGAAAATTTCAGAAACTATTGGTTGCTATTTTGGGGGTAATGAGATTAGAAATAATTTGTTGTTCCAGATCCTTAACTATATGTTTTAATTTTCAATAAGTATGAATAAGTAAAAAAAAAAAACCACTTGAGTAGTAAAAAAGGAAAAGGTGTTAGATTATTCCAGCATTGCCATCAGCCATTTGATGAAATTTATGAATTATAACTGTGCACTACCTTAGATTTTGACAGATTCTTGAATTCTGAAAATGTAGCCCATAGAACTGTTATCCTTAAAAAATTTAAGTTCTAGATAGAGGAAATAACATAGCGTAACCTAGAATAATTTTAGAATGATTTAAAAACAATAGCATTTTATCTATAGCTGTCATAATTGGTTACATTTAATGGGGGAAATATCACTTTAAGTCTAGTAATTTGGAAATCCTGTTTTAAAAACACTACCATAAGGATAAATGTGTTCAGGTATGTCCATTATGAGACACCATATGTCCCAAATCACTCCTGTTGCCCTACAGTCCCATTTATTTCACATTTGTTCCAAAGTTTCTAAGAGGTTATTCTAATTCTAGTTGCTTTAAAATGAGAGTGGCTATTTGGCTCTTTGACTTCTAGCTTCTGTCATGGACACTTCATTTTTAGATTTAGTAGTTTAAATCTTTATTTCTCCTGGCCAATCTAGCTAAGCTTTGCTACTTTTATTATTTCAAAGAGAAAACTTTTGGTTTCATTAACTTTCTCTATTGTTTTTAATATTCTCTACTTTATTAACTTATACTATAATCCTTACTTACTTTTTCTACTTGCTTTGGGTTTGATTGCTTTTTAGAGTGTCGCAAAGTGGAAGGTTAAATTGTGTATTTGCGAACTTTCTTTTTCTTAAATGCAGACATCTGTAAGCAGAAATTTCCACTACTGTTTTAGTTTCATCCCATAAAATTATTTTCATCAAATTATGTTGTAATTTCCTTTGTGATTTCTGCTTTGATCATTAATAAATTGATTCCCACAAAATTGTGAATTTCCAAAACTTATTTGTCATTAATTTATAACTTTACTCATTGTGATGAGGAACTATACTTTGTGAGATTCAAATATTTTAAATTCACTGAGGTTTGTTTTATGGCTTACTATATCACCTATAATGGAGAATGTACCATGTATGACTGAGAAGTGTCAAACATGTTCAGGAATATTCTCCAGTTTCTTTTCTGAGTAATTTATCTGCTTCTATTCTTTAACTTTCTTTTTTTCTTAAAGATTTATTTATTTGAAAGTCAGAATTATAGAGAGAGAGTGAGAAAGAGACAAAGGTCTTCCATCCACTGGTTCACTTCTGCTGATGGCTGCAACAGCCAGGCCTGGGCCCAGTTGAAGCCAGGAGCCAGGAGCTTCATCTGGGTTTCATGTGGGTGTAGAGGCCCAGGGACCAGGGTCATCTTCTGCTGCTTTCCCAGGCCATTAGCACAGAGCTGGATCAGAAGTGGAGCAGCCAGGAATCAAACTAGCACCCATATAGGATGATGGCATTGGAGGCGGTGGCTTTATCCACTATACCACAATGCCAGCCCTTCCCACTTCTTTTGGAGCTATTATTATTACACACATTAAATCTATAAGCATATATGTAATCAACTATAACATACTTAGTTTTCTGTTTAGTAAGGAAGCTAAGAAACAAAAGTGAGAAAGTATATATTTAAATATTTATTTATTTTATTTGAAAGGCAGAGTTACAGAGAGAGAGAGAGAGAGAGACAGAGACAGAGAGATCGTCCATCCACTGGTTCACCCCCCCAAATAGCAGCAATAGCCAGAGCTGGGCCAGAACAAAGCCACGAGACAGGAGCCTCTTCCAGGTCTCACACATGGGTGGAGGCGCCCAAACACTTGGGCCATTTTCCACTGCTTTTCCAGGAGTGGATGGGAAGTGGAGCAGCCAGGATCAAACTGGCATCCATATAGGAAGCTGTCTGTGCAGGCGGTGGTTTAACCCACTACACCAGAGAGGAAGTATAAATTAATAGAGTTTGTTATATTTACCTTAGTATTTACCACTGTTGGTTCTCTTTAGTTGTTTCTGAGTGTGTGCTGCCCTCTAGCATAATTTCGTTATTCTACTATATTTTTTATTCTCACCTAATTTCTTTGTGCTGTTATTATCAAGTATTCACACAATATCTTTCTATATATTATAGGTCCAACAATAAAATTATATATGTACTTAATACAATTTCTTTTTAAACTACTTGAGGAGATAATATTTATACTATTTATTTTTGATTACCTATATTTATTAGTTGTATGTATACTCAAATGGAAGGTATGTTCTACATATATATTAAGGATTGTTATGTCTTGCTAGTGGATTGTCCTTTTTGTAATCATATAATATCTCTCTCCAAATAAATTCTAAATTTGAAACTTTAAAATGATTATTTGCAAACTTTAAAATGAAGTGTATTACTAAGTTACATGCCTCTGAAATGACCAAATTGTATAGGATACCTGAAGGCCTCATTGTTTCTGTATAAAAACACTGTTTGAACAGAGTTGAACACCTACCTGACAGAATGGACATGGTAGTGGATTTTCCTGCCCCATTGTGTCCGAGAAGAACAGTGATCTGTCCCTCATATAAATTCAGAGACAATTCCTTTATTGCTACTTTAGTAGTGCCCTTATCTTGGAAAACCTGTAGGGGGGAAATCCATGAATGCTAATTTTATATCTATAACAACTATTTTGGAAGAAAGAGCACCCATTTCAACTATCTATAGAAGAAACAATGCCACATCATTGATCTCATGAGGAAAAAAATAAAAGTATGAAATGATGAACCTGTGAAAAGGAAAAAAAAATGGATGACACAAAGTGAGTTTTAGAATTTCTTGGAATTACAAACATCTTCTGGAAATCTCATCCATTCCTGCTTTGTTTCAATTACCATCTGAACTGGTAATACCACACTCTTCTTCAGTCAGTCTTCATTCTAATTTGGAGGAATGACCAATTGAAAACCTATACATAGATGTTCATCTAAATTTCCTTACATGTAAACTAGAATTGCTTCCACTTAGGATACAATAGCTGGAAAGAACATCACTCCCATGCCAGTGACACGTGCAAGTTGAATAATTTACTTCTTTTGAACAAATCAGAGAAGTGGGGTTTCTAGGCAACCAACTAGCCTGAAATTTAAGGAAAGACAGACACCTTCAGTGAGAGATGGTACATGAATATCTGCTTACCTGGAGTAAAAATGGATGTTATTTAAGTCTGTAAAAGATTTTGACTAAATAAAGAGCTGGGGGTCTGTAACTAGCCTGCTTCCTGTGCCAACCAGGCCTGTTGCTAATGTCAGTGCTGCTTCCGCAGCTCCTGCTCCTTCCTCAGGAGATGGTTGATGGACTATGTACCAGAGCCACCTCCCTGAGTCTCAGGAGATCCTCAGACCCCCATCACTGCTATCATCAAGTACAACGAAAGATGGTACAAGGAGACTACACTACTGTGCCCAACTGGAATTAGCACCAAGTAGCTTACCAAATTGATACCCAAAGATACATCAAGACCTCCCTAATGAAAGATAAAGAGAACTAATCTGCCAGATGTGCAAATATCACAAAGGGACACAAGAGGCATGAAAAAGCAATGCAATATAAAACCCCAAATGTTTGAACACAACATATCAGCAACAACGTCCAGTGAAAATAAGATTAAGGAAATGCCTGAAAAACAATTCAAAAGGGGGCCAGCATGTGGTACAGCAGGTTAATGCCAGCATTCCATACCTAAATGCCAGTTGGAGTCCTGGCTGTTCTGCTTCCAATCCTGCTAATGTGCCTTGGAGGGCAGTGGAAGATGGACCAAGTGCTTGAGTCCTTGCCTTCCACATTAGAGACCTGGATGGAGTTCCTGTCTCTTAGCTTTGGTCTGGCCCAAACCTAGTTGGTGTAGCTATTTTGGGAGTGAACCAGTGGATAGAAGATCTCTGTCTCTCCTTCTCTCTCTGTCACTCTGCCTTTCAAATAAATACATATTTGAAAAAATTCAAAAGAGTGATTATAATGATTATTCAAAGAGATACAGAAGAATATGGGCAGTTGACTGAAGGCAGGAATACAATTCAGCAAAGAAAGAAATCTTGAAAAAGAATCCAACAGAACTCTTGAAAATGAAGACCTTTATAAGTCCAATAAAGCTGGACGCCTCAGCAAGAGGTAAATAAAGCAGAAGAGTGAGTATCTGAACTTAAAGACAGGTCATACAAAATATTGAACCAGACAAAAAAAGAAAGAAAAAGAATGAAGACAGCTTTTAGATTTACAACACACACAAATCAAATAAAAATTAGTAGAATGACAGAAATAACAAAAATCAGAGCAGAAATAAATGAAATAGAGACCAAGAAAATAACATAAAAGATCAGTACACTTGGTTTTTTGACAAGATAATGACAAAACTTTAGACAGACTGACCAAGAAAAAGAGAATGCTCAAATAAAATCAGATATGAAAAAAGATATAACAAATAAAAAGGGTTTTATGAATAGTAACATACCAACAAATTAGAAAGTCTAGAATAAATATATAAATTTTTAGATACATATAACATACCAATTTGAACCATGAAGACATATAAAATGTGAGCAGACCAATAATAAGTAACAAGTCTGATTAAGTAGTCAAAAGGCTGCCAACAAAGAGAAGTCCAGGACTGAATGGCTTTACTACTGAGTTCTACCATACTTTTAAGGAAGAACTAACAAAATTTTTTCTCAAACTATCCCAAAAACTGAATGAAAGGGACCCTTCAAATCATTCTGCAAGGCCAATTTTACTCTGATACATGAATCACACAACAACACAACAAAAAGGAAAACTAGAGATCAATTTCTCTGATAAATATAGATGCAAAAGTTCTCAACAGAATACTAGCAAATCAAATTTAACAACACACCCATCACAATCAAGTGAGACTTACCATGGGGATGCAAGGATGGTTCAACCTACATAAATAAATAAACATAATACTTCCCATCAATATAATGAAGGATAAAAATATGATCATCTCAATAGATGTAGAAAAAGAATTCCATAAAGGTCAGTGTCAATTCATGATAAAAGCCCTAAACTAATCAGTACAGATGGTCTGTACTTCAAAATAATAAAGGCTAAATTTTAAAATTTTAGTTAAGATGCAGAGAGAGGGATAGGGATAGGGATAGGGAGAGAGAGAGAGAGAAAGAGAAAGAGAAAGAAAGCGAGAGAGCACCGTGCATGTGAGAGCGTTCCCACGTTCACTCATCAGATGCCTGCCACACTGTCTCCTAAGGTCTACATTAGCATGAGGCGAGCTGGGTATCAAGCCCAGGTACTCCAATATAGGAAGCAAGCATCTTAATTGGTAGCCTGAATGTGTGTCTGTTATTAAATATTTTTATTGGAAGCTTTGCCAGTGCATTTAGAGAACTAAATAAAAGATATACCAGTAGGAAAGGAGGAAGTAAAATTATCCCTGATACAATATAAATAGAAAAACCTAAAGGCATTGAAAAAAAGACTATTAAAACCAATAAATGAATTCAGCAGAGTTTGAAGATACAAAATTGACAGTATGTTTACATACCAATAGCAAACTCACTGAAAAAGAAACTATAAAGTACTCTCATACACAATAGCTGAAATAAAATATCCAGAAATAAACTTAACCCAGGATGTTTGCTTGTTTGTCATACTTTCTGAACTATGGCTAATATATCAGCGCTGGCTCAGAGTCTGTCAACTGGGAAGCTCAAGAGATATGGCACTAAAAATGGTGGTGAGGGCTGGATCCTTGATTGACAGGAAGTTACCCTTTTAAAGTAGCTTACTCAATTGGCTGGGAATTTGGAGATGGTTGTGGGTTAGAGGGGGCAGTTCATTCTACACAGGCCTTTCTTCCTTCATTTAGTTGATGGCTTAATTATGTTCACAGCCCAGAAGCTAACTTCTCTCAGAATAAGAAATCCAAGAGACCAAAGCCAAAGCTTAAATGTATTTTATGACTTAGCCTCAGAAAACAGTCATGTTGCTTTTAAAGTTTTTGATTTGTCTTACTTGACAGGCCTGTTCAAGGGCATGAAAATCAGGAAGCGTGTATCACTGAAGATCATCTTGGAGGGTACCTACTACATTGTGTGACAGACACATATTATTTTCCCTATTGTCCAGAGTGAGTTTTTGTTGTTTTGTGGGGCAAAGGCCACTGCACATCTTCAAGAAAGCAGAAAGAAACACGAGTTCTTAATATGGAGGAGTGGGCCATTTCTGTAGCCTAAGTGTTGAGGAGAAAGTAGCATTTGAGATTTTTGAGTCCTATGTGTCCCATCCTATGTCTCATTACCATTCATTTACAATAAGGCCCTCAATCCACATAGCTGAGAATTGAACCTTACCTAGAGTTCTATTGTTATGATCAAGTCTGGGGCTTAGTTCTCAGCCTTTTCTGCTGTTTGGCTGCTGAGAATGACAATTTCTTTATATATTTCCTAGGAGACTCATTAAATTCCACTTATCCCCTGATGGTCAATCACATACAATATTTCTTTGTCTCCAGTGTATAATTTCTCCCCAGCAATAGCTACCAAATTACACAGTCATAAAAATAAGTAATTCCCCCATATTTTTCAAGAGCTTGATGCATGCTACTAACTAGTGCATTTCTTTCCCTTGGTATACCATCCCAGTGCACCATCTATGAACTCTATACTGGTACCTTGTACCAAAATCTATCTCTCATGTTATCATTCACTTTCTTAATCAATTCTGGGTACCAATAATTGCCAGTTGGCTTCCCCCTAAAGTCTACTCTAATGTGGAAGTTAGCACCCAGGAAGAAAGAAGTTAGTACACAGGAGTGCTTTTGAGACCAACACCTGTGAAAAGAAGAGAATACTACAGATTTAGGAGAAAGACTAGTTAGACTTCAATACAATAACAACAAGTCAGCCCCACAAGGAATTCTGTGGCTTGGATGACTATTCAGAGCAGACTTGAATGGGAAGAAAGTTCAGGGCCTTCACAAGCCCAGCTTGAGTACTTATTGGATCTAGGCTTTTTAAAAGAAATAGGTCTAATTTGGAATGAGGTGATTCTGTTCAGCTAAGGTTACTGTTAGAGAGGGTGAGCAGTATCCACATGGCCATGTTTGTAGTGGGGCTTCATTGTATAATCTACCTGAAGTTTTTCTCTTCTCCATCCTACTGCTTAACTGCTATATCATTACCTTATTTATTTTCATAATGGCATTTACTATATATTATAATTATCTTATTTGTTCATTTGCTTGATTGTTAACCGCTTTTATTCACAGTAGAATATAAGTTCCTTGTGGGCACAGACCTTATCTCACTTTTTCATTGCTATATCAGGGCCAACAATTAATGAATGGTCATAGCTCATGTGTTCATTGAACCAACTCCATCTAGCCTCAACCTATATACATGTTAGTAATATTCACAAAAATGTTTCAGATGAGCAGATCTTCTGAGGATACCAAGGAAAAGTTTGAGTTTAACCAAAATTTAGACACTATGTAGTTCCATGTAGTATACATAAAGGCAGAGCAGACTACAGAAGTATAAGTACTCCAAAAATAAGTCAATTTTCAAAGACAGCCTTAGCTTTCTCCAAGCTATAGAGTTAGGGGCTCAGATCAAGCTTATACAGACATTTGAGAAGCAAAGGAATGTCACAAAATATATGAGTTACCTGAATACTGCTTGCCTGCAATTGATCTAGATAAACTGAGAAAGCCAAGTGTCCTGATAAACACCCAAACAGGAGAGATTTCAAGTGGATGAACATAAACATTTGTGAGCAGAGATTAATGTTAATATACTAAATAATAATAAAGCTCCACTAGAATCTAACTTTTTTTTTTTTTTTTTTTTTTTTTTTGGACAGGCAGAGTGGAGAGAGAGACAGAGAGATGGTCTTCCTTTGCCGTTGGTTCACCCTACAAATGGCCGCCGCGGCCGGCGCACCGCGCTGATCCGATGGCAGGAGCCAGGAGCCAGGTGCTTTTCCTGGTCTCCCATGGGGTGCAGGGCCCAAGCACCTGGGCCATCCTCCACTGCACTCCCTGGCCACAGCAGAGGGCTGGCTTGGAAGAGGGACAACCGGGACAGAATCCGGCGCCCCGACCGGGACTAGAACCCGGTGTGCCGGCGCCGCTAGGCGGAGGATTAGCCTAGTGAGCCGCGGCGCCGGCCGTGAATCTAACTTTTAAAATGAGATCAACTGTATAAGATACCATTATAGTTCATAGAAAATTTAAATCCATTCTGGAGGAAAGAGAAAATTTTGACTTTTATAATATATACATTTCATTTTGATCTTCCTTATAGGGAGTAAACATGATGGCTATAACCTTTCATTAACATATGATATTTTTCTTGGTATTTCTCATAATAACACTTATAATACATTGGAAACTAAACTTCAGTCCCATGAAGAAAAAGAGATCTCTGAGACAATACCTTGTGCAAGTGTTTGATCGTGATACCTGTTACCAAATCAGTAGGTTCAGCTTCAAAATACTTGCTTTGAATTGTTTCTTGAAACTGGTGTGTTTCAGATTTTTTCACAGGTGGTTCTCCAAACCAGTAAGAGGGCTAAGAATGGAATAAAAACACAATCACTGCCATGGAAATGAAAAAATTAAGCATTAGGAAATACTTTAAATACTTATGGTCTGTTAGCTTTTATATTGAGATGTACTGCAAAAACTTCTTATGACTCAATTTTGAAGCTACTTGGCTGTAATTTGAACTCCTTGGGTATAGCAGCAGACTATTCTACAGAAATCATAATTATTCAAGAGACACAAAGGAAAATCACTCCTAAACTAGAGTATAGTGAAAGTATTATAATAGTCTTTGTAAGAACTTTTTTGATCAATATATGAACAAAATATGATTTGTGAAAATACTGAGAACAGAAGGCAAGATGTATAAACCTTCTATTTTTCTATGGTTCTGAAATCTGGACTGATCAAGGAAATAAAGTTAACAGTGAATGCCCACATACAATTAAATCTCTCCTTGTTGGCATCTAAAGACCTCCCATGCACTAAATTCTTTAAGACAGAGAGTTCAATTATTTATGAGACACTTGCCTAAAAGCCAGATTAATTATGACACTTTATAAAGCTTGAGGTTTCATGCCATGACATACAGATTATATTTATGAGAGCTGAGTATATTAGAAAAGGGCTAGTGAGGGGAGGGGCGTTGTGGCACAGTGGGTTAGGCCTCCAGTTTTGATGGTGTTTTACTTCTGATCCAGCTTGCTGCTAATGCACCTGGGAAGGTAGAAGATTCAAGTACTGGGTTGCTGCCACACAGGTGAAGTTCTAGGTTCCTGGCTTCAGCATGGCTTAGCCCTAATTTTTGAGGCATTTGAAGAGTGAAACAGTAGATAGAAGATACATCTTTCTCTCTCTCCATTTCAAATAATGTTTTATTTTTTTAAGAAAAATGCTAGTGAATTAGTAGAGCAAGAGTATACAAAATAAGGGTTATTTTACCTGACCTATTTATTCAGTTACAGATAATGTAAAATTAACTTATGATGCTTTTAAAGATATTAAAAAATAACTTCATCAGGACTGTGGTCTCTATCAATAACATAAGCATTAGAACTCACCTGCAAGAAAAAGTTCCATGGCTTGGGCACACCATACTTTCCTGGATATACAGCTTCTACATACCAAGTCACAATGAAATACAATAAAGCATCAAGTAGTAACATCCCCAGGATATAGGCAAATAAAAAGTTGTCTTGTTTGTTTGGTGAGAAGATGTTATTCCATTTAATTCCAGTTTCTAAGACATAGGAGGAGACAGTTAATTAGGTGTCTACTGGGACTAAAACAGAACTATCCATGTGTACTGTCATAAAACACTGAAGAATACAACATGTTGGTATTTTCTAGAGATTCATACTAGAGTCAGATACTTTCTTACACTCTTAGAACTTAGGTTGTCCCACAGGACATCTGAGTAAGTAATCCTGTAAAGTGCTCCCCCATTAAATGCCAAATAAGCAAATGATTAGAAATGATTGAAATAAAAATAAGGTAGACTAAAATTTCAGGAAAGTAGCTTTAAGAAAAATAAGCAGACCTACAGGTTAAGATGGTGGTTCCTCCATCTCCACCTCTCCTCTTGTTAAAAGTTCATGTTTACTAGCATACATAATTTTAAAAAACATAATCATGAAAAAATAGGGATGGATTCTATCTATAGGACAGAAGACTATTCATAAATACTACACTGAGGGAAAAAGAGAAGGAAATGTGTCATTTCATGCGCTACCACTAGACAGCAGGTGGTAACTCTAAAAGGACCAGAATGAGGCCTTATTAGATTTGCAGTATGTTTTTGGAGAGATGCATGCATGTGGTGGTATAAAGCAGAATTTTGAAGGACAGCTTAGCAGCATCAATCAATATTAACAGTGAATATCCAGTAAAATAACAAAGATATTTACTAAAACATGACAACATTTACAAGGTATATACTCACTCTTCACTTCTGCATCAAATATAAATTTAAATCCCAGTGCCATTGCATAATTAGAGCTGAGACAAGAAACTATCTTCTGGTTGAATGTCATCTGTCCATAGTTGACAGACAGGTTAGCAGCCGGAAGATAGGTGATAAAAAAACAGAAACCTCCCAGAGTAATAGCAAAATAGGCTGCAAATATAAAGGAAATTATAAGGTCAATTTGAGTAACTTAAAAAACTTAACCTAATATAAATTTAGTTGATTTATTATAATAAAATAAGCTCTATAAGAAATAGAAAATATCTGTTTCATTCAACATTGTTTCCCTCAGCACATAATATATTCGACACAGTAAATGTTCCAAAATATTTTTATTAAGGCTGAAATGTAACATTTTAGGAGCTAATTTATTCTGCAATATATCATTCTACGTGTAGTAGCTATAAGCATTACAATATCTAATGAAAATTTATATATTAATTTATTATTACTCAGCAAAAAAAATTACAAATGTAAACACTTCTACTGCTGGTACAACCTAGATTGTATTTCCAGACATCATGAAATTTAGTCTAGGGCTTTGGAGTAAGATGGCAAAATAGAGACGACCATACCACTCTAGTCTAGGGGTAAACAGTACAAAAAAACTGAGGGAGTACATTTTTAGGGGAGAGTTAAAGGGAAAACTGCAGTGGAAATTTTAAGGCAGGAGGAGGAATGCCATGGATTGGCATGGAAGGTGTGGACACATAGCACAAGCATGGATACAACACATGACACCAGCAGCCAAGAGTCGGAGAAAGCAAAGATCTGGAGCCCGAGTCAAGATCAGACTACAGGTGCCAACCAACTGGAGATACAGCCAGAGGGAGAGCGTAGCATGAGTGCCCCAAGTTGGAACACAGACCAGAGCCCCCTTGCCATACCAAGCACTCACCTCTGCATACTCAGTGAAAAAGCAGACACTCCACTAAGAAAGGGAGGCATATTTCAAAGATAAAAGACATCAGAGGAAAAAACACCAACAAATATTTCCACAAATGCCTAAAAATAAATGCAGAAATTTCAGAAACAACAATAAGGAAGACAACAAAACCTTCCCCCTACTCCCACCAAAGGAACACAATAGCACTTCAATATTAGAAGGTGAAGATGAACAGATTGATGCAATGCCTGATATGGAATTTAAAAGATTAATCATAGGATTACACAGAAGCAAATTCATGAATTAAAGAAATTCAGGGCCAGTGACATGGCTCACTTGGTTAATCCTCCACCTGTGGCACTGGCACCCCAGGTTCTAGTCCCGGTTGGGGCGCCGGGTACTAGTCCCAGTTGCTCCTCTTTCAGTCCATCTCTCTGCTGTGGCCCGAGAGGGCTGTGGAGGATGGCCCAAGTACTTGGGTCCCTGCACTCACATGGGAGACCAGGAGGAAGCACCCGGCTCCTGGCTTCGGATCAGCGCAGCGCTGGCCATAGCGGCCATTAGAGGAGTGAACCAACGGAAGGAAGACCTTTCTCTCTGTCTCTCTCTCACTGTCTATAACTCTACCTGCCAAATAAAAAAAAGAAATTCATACATGACATGAATGAAAAATTTTCCCATGAAACTGGTATTTTGATGAGAAATAAAAATGAAATATTAGAAATGAAGAATTTTCAATGTCAAAAAATACAATAGAAAGCCTCAACAATAGACTTGGTGAGGCAGAAGAAATAATATCTGAGCTAGAAGACAAATCTTTGGAAATTATTCAGTCAGACCCACCCACCCCCCGAAAAAAAAAGAAGAAAAAGAAGAAATTAGAAAAATTAAAAAAGTGTTGGACTTTTGGGATACTATCAAATGACCCAACGTATGCGTCTTAGGAGTTCTTGAAGATGTGAAAAGACAGAATGGATCAGAAGGCCTATTCAGGGAAATACTTACAGAAAACTTCCCTAATTTGGAAAAAGAGACATCCAAGTACACAAAGCACACAGGACTCCTTATAGTCATGACCAGAAAAGACCTTCAGCACAAAACATTGCAGTCCAACTTTAAACAGTAAAACGAAAGAAACACTGTAGTCAATCTTTTAACAGTAAATAATAAAGAAAGTTTCTAAAATGTGCATGAGAGAAAAACCAGGTTAATTTCAGAGGATCTCCAATTAGACTCGCAGCTGGATTCTCATCAGAAACCTTACAGGCTGGTAGAGAACAGAAAGATACAGTCCAAGTCTTAAGAGAAAAAAAACCTGTCAATCCAGAATACTGTACCCTGCAAAGCTCTCACTGATGAATGAAGGTGACGTCATCATTATGAAAGAATGTGAAGGCAGAAAATCTTCTAGGAAAAGTACAAAGGAGATCCAAAGCAAACAATAGGAATATTTACAGATAAATGGCAGGGCCAAGTCATTACTTATCATTAATAACCTTGAATGTAAATGGCCTAAATTCTCCACCTAAAAGATACAGGTTGGCTAAATGGATTAAAAAACAAGACCCACTATTTTGCTATCTACACACCTCACCATACACACAGCTGAATCTGTGGACTTGGTAAACTGCCCTTCCCAATGTAGCTAGAACTCAGACTGGATTTATGACATTGGCTTTCCTGGGTCCCCATATTTCTGACTGCAGATCATGGGACTTCCAAACCTCCTTAATCATGTGAAACTATTCCTCTTAATAAACATCTTTTTATCTATAATAATAAGACTATTGGCTTTGTTTCTCAGGAGAATCTTGACTAATATAACTTTCAAATATTTTTTTGTACATATAATATATATACCTCCAATGTCAACTTCAGCTCTATAGGGCAAGCAGTATATTTCAAATATATCCAGATACACATTAAGCATTTATTAATTGGGTGTAAAGACTATTTCTTTCATTATTTGTTTCTTCCTCTTCACATACACCAGGCTTATCATCATATACTAGTAGACATTATTAGCTCATCCAAAAGAATATACAGAAGTCATTTCCATCTCATTTCTTCTTGGTGAAAAGTTAGATACTGTATATGAGGCGGCAGCTGAAGTTGAAAGATCATTCAGATACAGTCTTATTATCATATGTATACTGTGTCATATCAACCTCTCAATCACATGTATTTTCTACCAGCTAGTCATTGCTCTCTTTGTTCCATTTCACATCATTCACATGAATATGGCATCTTCATTTTAGATAGAATGTAAACAGGCTATCAGTGAAGTGGCAACTAAGATTGAGAAGCTATTTCCAAATACCATTTTTGTTCAGGCACTGAAAGGAAAAATCTTAGACTCACCATTACTGAAGAATGTGCTAACCATAAAGCTGAAGCATATTGAGGGCATGGTATAAAATAGCAAAAAGATGAAGACAATAATTGGGTCACTGTATTCAAGGACTGAGACAGATTGAATCTAGAAAAGTAATCAGGAAGCCAGTTCAGTCACACTTTAAGTGATATCACAGCAAAAATGAATGAGGAAAAAGGAAATATCTTAAAAATCTTTAACATTTCTGGTGAAACTTATGAAACTACTCACTGAGCTGATTAACCATTCATTTATTATAGAAGGTCCACTGACCTAGCTTTAAAATTTAGTTCACTGAGAGACTAAGCAATCTCTTAATTTCCAGAACAGAATCAACAAAAGCCACCTTTTCATTCCCTAACAATCTGAGATCCATTGGGCCCATGACATATTCTAAGTCTAGCTAGAGCATACTGTAAACACTTGCCTTGATATATAAAATTATGCATATAATGATGATGATAATAAAATACAAGAGGATGAATGTGAAGAAATAGGCAGTCCAGAGCATCCAATTACTGAGTCCTATCATGAGCTGGTATTCCTGTGGGAAAATTAACACAAATCAAATATCAAATAAAACTATTTAATCATGTAGTACCTTAGAGTCTATAAATATCATCTACTTTAATATCTATAACCATAAAGGGTAAAGTAATGAATACTATTATCTCCATTTATAGAGCAGGAAATCAAGTTCAGAATATCAAATAACTTCTTTAAAATCCTTCAGTTGGTAAGTACTGTGATTTTTTTTATAAGCACACATATCATTCCTCTAGTAATTTATCTGACATCAAAAACATCAAAAACAAAGCAATAAAACACTAAAACTAATATTCCCTTTCTTTTGATTATGTCCTTCCCTCATGTTTATTGCTGCTCAATTCACAATAGCTAAGATACAGAATCAATGCAGATATCCATCAACTGATGACTAGATAAAGAAAATGTAGTATATATACTCTATGAAATACTAACTCAGCCATAAAAAATAATGAAATTCTGGGTTTTATTTATTTATTTTTGCAACAAAGTAGATGCAACCAGAAACTATGATGCTTAGTGAAATTAGTCAGTCCCAGAAAGACAGATATATGTTTTCTCTGATATGTGGGAGTTAACATAGAATACAAAAAATGTATAGGAATGAAATGGATATTTTATGATTTGATAGTTGTTTTCAGTCCTTGTTTATACACCTGTGGTACTATGGCCTTCCTACTGAAATGACACAAAGTATCTTTGTTTGAACACATGTAATAGAACGTAGAAAAAGGAAAACTCATAAATATATGAAAGCTAAACAATCAATAGATGATAAGAGATCATAAGGAAAATTATAAAATACCTTGAGACAATCAAAAGCAAAAATATAACACATGCAAACTTTGGGGAGATTTGGTGCAGTCAGTTCTCACAGAGAAATTTATAGCTATAAATGTCTACTTTAAAAAATAAAGATTTCAAATAAATAACCAAACTGTATATCACATGGCCTGGAAAAGAAAGGCAAACTAATCAGTAATCTAGCAGAGGGAAGAAACTAATAAAGCTTACAGTAGAGATAAATTACAGAAAAGGCAAGCAATAGAGAAATTCAATAAAAATAAAAGCCAATCATTTGAAGATATCAGCAAACTGACAAACATTTTGTCAGAAAAATTGAGAGAAAATTCAAATTACTCAAATCATAAATGAAAGTGGGTCATTACTTGGATATTATAGAAAAAGAAAGGGTCATAAGAGAGTACTATGAATAATTACATGTTCAAAAAGTAGATAGTGTACATGAAGTGGACAAATTCACAGGAACATAAATTTTATTAAGTCTGAATTGGGGGTAGCACTGTGATACAGCAGGTTAAAGCCCTGGCCTGAAGCGCCAGCATCCCATATGGGCACCGGTTCTAGTCCCAGCTGCTCCTCTTCTGATACAGCTCTCTGCTATGGCCTGGGATAGCAGTAGAAGATGGCCCAAGTCCTTGGGCCCCTGCACCCATGTGAGAGACCCAGAATAAGCTCCTGGCTCCAGGCTTTGGATCAGCTCAGCTCTGGCTGTTGCAGCCATCTGGGGAGTGAACCAGCAGATGGAAGACCTCTCTCTCTGTCTCTAACTCTCTGTGTAACTCTGTCTTTCAAATAAATAAAATAAATCTTAAAAAAAGACTGAATTACAAAGAAATAAAATATCTGAACAGACTTATAACTAGTAAGGTCATCAAATCAAGAATCACACACACACACACAAAAAAAAAAGAATAGAAAAACATCCAAGAAAGAACATTCCTGAACTAAATGGTATTACAAGTGAATTTTGCCAAACACTTAAAGAATAATAAATAAGAATTCTTCTCAAACTCTTAAAAAAAACTGAAATGGGGGCTGGTGCCATGGTTTACTTGGTCAATCCTCTGCCTGTGGTGCTGGCATCCCATATGGGCACCGGGTTCTAGTCCCAATTGCTCCTCTTTCAGTCCAGCTCTCTGCTGTGGCCTGGGAAGGCAGTAGAGGATGGCCCAAGTGCTTGGGCATCTGCACCCGCATTGGAGGCCAGGAGGAAGCACCTGGCTCCTGGCTTCCGATCAGTGTAGCTCTGGTCATAGCAGCCATTGCGGGGATTGGGGGTGAACCATCGGAAGGAAGACCTTTCTCTCTGTCTTTCTCTCTCCTTGTCTATAATTCTACCTGTCAAATAAAAACAAAAAATAAAAAAACTGAAATGTAGGCAGAACTTCTCAACACATTCTATGAGGCCAAAATTATCCTGATAGTAAAACCAGAAAAAGACATGACAAGAAAAAAAAATTATGAGGAAATAAACTCTTATGAATATTAATGAAAATTTCCTCAAAAGGATATTAGAAATCCATACTCAGTAGTATACTGAAAGGGCTCTACACCATGACCAAGTAGGATTTATTTCTGTATATGAGAAGGATTCAAGTACAAAAACAATGTAATTCAGTACATGAAGAGAAGAAGTGATAAAAAATTATCATCTTAATTAATGTAAGAATATATTCAAAACATTTTTAAATGACAAAAACTCAATATACTAGGAACAAAAGGAAAATTGCAGAGTATAATAAGAGTGACGTGAAAATCTGAATATCGTACTATTTTACCTAAGATCAAGAAAAAGAGACTCACTTCACCCTACTTCTTCCATAATTAGGCAAGAAAAATAAAAGGCCTCCAATTGGAAAGGAAGGAGTAAGATTGAAAAGAAGTAAAATAATCTCTAACGATGATATAACTTTAGTTGTTTATAAGCACACAAAAATTCATCAGAGTTACAGGATAAAACAAAATGAATACATGGGCACCACCATTGTGGCTCAGTGGGTAAAGTCAATGCTTGTGATGTAAGCATCCCATATCAGAGTGCTGGCTCAAGTCTTAGCTTGTCTGCTTCCAATGCAGCTCGTTGTTACTATGCCTGGGAAGGCAGCAAATGATTGTCCAAATGCTTAGGCCCCTGCCACTCATGTGGGAGATGAGCATGGAGTACCTGGCTCCTGGCTTTGGCCTAGCTCAACCTTGTCTATTGCGGCCATTTGAGGAATGAGCCAGAAGACAGATGATTTCTCTCTCACCCTCTCTGATGTGTGCTTTTCAAGTAAATAATAAATATACATATACCTTAAGAAACACACAAAAATTTTCTACATTTCGATACACTAGCAATATAGATACTCCAGTTAAAAGGAGGGGGAACCCTCATTTACAAAGGCATAGAAATTAATATAATCGGGGTTGGTGCTGTGGCACAGCAGGTAAAGCCACCACCTACAGTGCCGGCATCCCATATGGGTGCCAGTTCAAGTCCCGGCTGCTCCACTTCTGATCCAGCTCTCTGCTGTGGCCTAGGAAAGCAGTAGAAGATGGCCCAAGTCCTTGGGCCCCTGGGCCTGCGTGGGAGACTCAGAAGAAGCTCTTGGCTCCTGGCTTTGGATCAGCTCAGCTCCAGCCATTGCAGCCAATTGGGGAGTGAACCAGCGAATGGAAGACCTCTCTCTCTCTCTCTCTCTCTCTCTCTCTGTGTGTGTGTGTGTGTGTGTGTGTGTGTGTGTAATTCTGACTTTCAAATAAATAAATCTTTAAAAAAAAAAAAAAAGAAATGAATACAATTCTCTGGAATCAACTTAACTGGCGGGGGCAAATTATTTGCACACTGTTAACTATAAAACAATGTCTTTTTTCTGTTTCGTTTTTGCATTTGAAAGGCAGAGTTAGAGAGAGAGAGAGAGAGAGATCTAACATCTGCTGTTTCACTTCCCAAAATGGCTGCAAAGGCCAGGGCTGGACCAGGCCAAAGCCAGGAGCCAGGAGCCAGGAGCCAGGAGCCAGGAGCCAGGAGCCAGGAGCCAGGAACCAGGAGTTTCTCTGGTCTCACCCATGGGTGCAGGAGCCCAAGGACTTGAGCCATGTTCCACTGCTTTCCCAATCACACTAGCAGTGAACTGGATTGGAAGTGGAGCAGCTGGACATGAACCTGTGCCCATATTGGATACCAGCACTGTGGGCAAAGCCTTAACCTGCTTTGCCACAGCACTGGTCCCCAAAACAGTGTTGAGAAAAACTAAATACAGTATAGATAAATCTGAAGATATCCCATTTGTGTTTTAAAATTTTAGTATTTTTGAAATATGGGGAATCCAACAGATCAGATGATTACCACTGGAAACATGGTTCCCAGAGAAGGGGCATGCTATACCATTTAGGCACAGGGAGGCACCAGAACCAGTCAAATGCTTGAAAGGAAAACATGGGCAAGAGCCTATATTATAGTTTCTGTGCAAGAGGCAAGGCAGGGTTATTGTACCAGGATTTGGTTCCTGTGCATAAATTCAGGAGGCTGCAGGGTAAGAGGCTGTCTCTAGTTGTTTGTTAACTGATCCTAGGGTGATTAGGACAGGAGGATAGTGGCTCAACCTGTGAAAGACAATGAAACATGGTAATGAGTAGGGGTTCTGCTTTGGTCAGTTTGCATCTCCAGAATGCGGTCTGGGTAAGTGCTTGCTGTCTCTAAAACTGGCTTGTAGATGCATTCCTTTCAGAAGTAAGAAGGATAAAATGTCAAAACATCAAAAATATGGAAAATAGAAAAATGGATGAGTAATATACCATGTTCAAGATGAAAATACTACCCGATCAAAATCCCAGGGATACTTTTTGCAGAAATAGAAAAGCCCAAACTAAAATTCATATGGCACCTCAGTTTCCTTGATTAGATAAAAGTCCTTTTAAATAGAACAAAAAGTTGGAAGATTCACACTTTTCTATTTCAGTTCCTAGCAAAAAATTTCAGTAACCAAGATAAGGTATTGACGTAAGAATAGATATGTAAATCCATGGAACAGAATTGAGAACCACTAAAACAAACAAACAAACAAAAAACATGGTCAATCAACACTAGATACATGGGTTAATATTGCTTGCTGAGTCTCAGCAAATTCAAAAGCATCGAAATCCTGCCATGCATCTTCTCAGACCACAGTGGAATGAAGCTGGAAACTAGCAACTCAGGAATCTCTAGAG